CAGGGACAAAAGTAACACGGGACAATAGTAACATCGTTAATATTTCTTAAACTATAATGGATATACGTATGCGGCTGCATGGTAAAATTCTGTAGACAGATCGACATTGAATCGTTCGTTACATGCTGATTCTCGCCGAACGTGCGCGAGTGTAGGAGCAAAAATTACTTTTTTCATGCATCAAGTAAGTTTGATTACATGCATAAAATCTACAATATCTTTTTTTCTTTTTAATGAAAGTATAGTGTATTATTATAATATGTTTTAATGATTATCTGCGTTGATGGTTTGTACATTTGGGTTGATTTTTATCTAGGTTTTTATTTTAAAAATTTACTATAAATCATAAAATATCATTAGGAGACAATAGTAACATCAAAATGCCTGGGGTCAGTTATAACATTACAATTATCCCCAAACTTACTTGATTTTATTTTAGTATTATTTTGTACAACATTATTTGTATTTTTCTTCATAGAATCTCATTAACAAGAAAACACAAAACAGATAAGAGAAAAACTATATAAAAGAAGTGTCTTTATACAAACAAAGACATTTAAAGAAGTTATGAAGGACGAGATATCCATTTGTGCAGCTGCAAGAAAGAATATAACTTATGTTGTTGTGTTACGTACCTTTGGCAAATGTGGTACAATTATTCCCTCTACTGTTATAATCGTTATTATCGTCCCTGGGGGTTGGGACAGTTGTAACAAAATTCCTCATAGTCTTTAAACAAACATAACTTTTTTTCTAGTTACATAAAATAATTAAACCAAAGAAAATTTTGTATCTAAAATTCTATATTTAAAGATACATATTTTTGTAATGTAAGTATCATATTTTAACTGTTATAACACTTCAAAGTTAAAATGTTACTTTTGTCCCCAGTCTCCCCTATATATGAAAAATAAAATGATTATATTATAGATAAAATAATTTAATATCAAATTAATTACCTTTAGCAATTTAAACTTAGTAATTTCATTAATTTTTCGCAATACAAAAAAGATGTGATTGGAAAGAATCATTAATTTTAACTGATTTGGATTAAATTGAAAATTTGATTTTATTTGAATGAGAAAAATTTCGAAAAATTTTGAACATCTCTTCTTTAAATTTCCCTATACACAAAAGCGTAAAAATCCTCACTCCATATTGTAATCATGAAATTTCCTCGTAGTTAAAAGTAAATCATAAATGCCAATAGCGTACAATAGAAAGACTTGGAGAGCAATAAATCATATTATGTCAGTTTTAACTTTGAAAACACTTGGTTTTATCATTTTGGATTTTTTACTAATATCGTCGTTGTCATTAATTCTCATCAAATCTGTATCGACTGTCAGAACTTCTTTTATATATTCTTTTGTCTCTGATCTAGATTATTATGAATGTTATATAAGGTATAAATAAACTTTTTAAACCAAAAGATACAATTAATAAATTAAGATCTACCGCACAATTAGATGTAACGCAATTTTCAATCAAAATCTTTGCTTAATTTTACTTAATTTATATGATATATTTATATAATTAGCAATTATAACGAATTTTTGTAAAACTTGTATAATAAAACTTGTACCTTGAGAATAATATGTTAGGTATCCCTCATATAGCAATTTTATCGAACATTTACGTAAATTTATTCAAAGACAACTTTTATAATTTGCTTCTATCTATTCGCGTAAAAATGGTATACTGTTTATAATTTTATATACCATATATTTTTATGTATTTGTACATTTTAGTTTTATATATTATACGTACATATATATATGATTTTTAAATATTTTTTAAATGCATTATACAGTATGTAACACTATAAATTATATTTTATTGAGAATTTTGTCACAAAAAATAAATATTGTTTCAAGAAGACTTAAGCTTTTTTTTATTGCGATAGATTGATGATTTTCAAAAAATTAGAATATAAAATTTTAAACCTTAAATATATAATAAAAATTGTCATAAAAATTTGCAAAAAAGAATTAAAAGTGTTAGTGTATATGTAGAAAATGTTATATAATTTTTTTTTATTATTTACTAAAGCAAAAATATTTATTTCTTGACTGTAATAATTGAAACAAAAATAATGTCTGGACAATAGTGCGTAATAAAAATTGAAAACAGCATTCTCTTAATTATTAATCTCTTCTCTTAATTATTATTTTCTTATTTATTAAAAAAATAAACTTTAATAAAAAAAAAACAAAAATTCATGGATAAATATACCTTAGCAGGAAAATATAAAAATGATTCAAATACGGTATTATATATATATATATTATATATATATATATACACATGCAATGATCAAGTGGTCACTAAGGATTCTTTGCACGGTGTTTATATGTTATATTCTTATGTGTAAAAGAAGGCAATTTTTGAAATTATTAATTTTTCTAAAACGACTATGGTACTCACGATGCTTTTATCACAATATAATTTTTTCGCATTTATATGTACAAAGTGTTGCAGATACATACTAGGCAGTACTACGGGTTGCGGCAAACTTTGCAGGGGCTGGCGCGTTTCAGTATAGGTAATGACGGTGACTTTATAACATAAACTTTATAATATAAATAATAAAACTTTGTTATAATTAATAAATTAAGTTACGTTTTAAATCAAAGCTCCTTTGAATTGACCAATAAATTAATGCCATTTTGTAATATAAACTTTATAATATAAAGTCACCGTCATTTTCTACTGAACCGCGCCTGCCGCTGCAAAGTTTGCCGCGTAACTCGTCGTACTGTCTAGTATGTATCTGTAACACCCTGTAATATAATGCATATGTCCTTCAAAAATGCCATTACAGAAAGACCAATATAATTTTATGTATGCATGTATAATAATTTATATATTTCCATAACTTTTATATATTTACATAATAATTTTTAGTTTCAGCGAACGTTAATTAACAAATGTGAATTGTTGCTATTATGCAGTGATGTAATACATTAAATTATCAAGTATATTTAAAAAAAATAGCAAAGTTATTTAGAAACTTATTGTTGTGTATAACATATACGTAAATATATTTTTTTAATTTGTCTATTATATAATATACAAATTATAATAATTTGCTTTTCTATTCTGCGCCGCTTCCTTTTGTTTCTGTTTTATAGGATGTAGTCAATCGAAATAAAAAGTGTTTACTCTTACGTTGACATTGATACAAGGCGTGCAAACTTATTATATAATATAATCAAAATCCAAAAGTCAAATATAATCGATGGTCTTTGCGTCGTCAACAATTATCTGTTCACGGAGAAAAAATGCACGAAATACCGTAGCAGATTAACGCGTGCTCCAATTTTATTCCGGTGGAAATCGGAGTAATGGTGAGCGCCGCATATTCGACTTATGTGTATTAGGATTGATAAAATCGATTCCACGTCACTATCACCGCTGGGTGTCGTCGCAGGACGCTTATAACAAGCGTGAACACTAAATTAATTTAACACATTGCAAATATTTATATAATTTTTTAGATATTTTATTAATCTTATAATTGTTTGCAAAATGTTTTACACGTAATAATCTTGATTGCAATAAAATCTTTAAAAATATATAACAGCTATGACTTATAGGAATTTTCGATATTATATATTTACTTTCGTAACAATACTTTAAATTCCAATTTAAAAACTTTAACAGATACATCAATTATTACCTAAAATCTCGTTAAAAGTTAAAATACAGCTTATTACCAAAATTCAATTTAACTTCAATTTAGTAATGTTGTTTTTAATTCGTTTTAATTAATTTTTCGAAAAGAAGCTGATTTTTCGAGAAGCTTACGCTTCTCATTATGATTGTTAATATTCTCTTCATATATAATATTTTAATTTATTATTTATACGTTTTGCAAATTACATCGTTTTTCCTAGTTTATACTTCATATGTTTTTAAATATATTTTACTAATCTCGCAAGTGTGAAAGTGTAAAAACAAGTTTTTGCTAACAATGAAGTAAGATTGTAATTTAATGAATTAAATTTATTCTACCTGTATGTGTGTGTGTTGCATTTTTTTGCGTTCGCTGATTAATCTTTGGCACTTCAATCGCACATTGGAATTTCGTCCCAATTGGCACGGGAGCCATCGCCCTTATCGGTAGCAACTCGTTTTACAAGCTCGGGCGACGGTTTCTTGAGGTTATAGGCCCATCCGATCTTCGCGAACATGTCGATGAAAAACGACGAGTGATTGAAAATATACCAATTGAACTCGGACGCACGATAGTCCCAAGGAAATGTATGATGATAATTATGGAATCCTTCGCCACTACAAATTACACTTACACTCATATTCTCTGTTGGTCGTATATTTCTAAAAATCAGGACAAAACTATGATAATAAACGGGAATACTCGGGAAAAAATTATTCATATATAATTATATATAAAATATGTCTATATATATATATAACATTTCTTTCCTGTTAGATTTTATCTATTAAATATCGTGTCTTGGATCAATTGAAAAATATTTTACAATTTTGAGCATTTGTTTAAAAAAACTTCGCGAATACAATAATCGATTTCACACTTAATAATCTGTCAGAAAAATCGTTCTCGTGCCCTAAACATGCATCAGTGATATTGAATATATTGCCGTAAATCCATCTAAAAGAACTCACTTGTTATACGGCTTGGCACCCCACATGTGAGCGAAACTGTTTATGGAAAAGCTTGCATGTAACACCAGTAACACTCGAGCTACTTGTGAAATGAAGGATCTGTTCCAAGTCTCATCCCAGAAGTAAACTGGTATCAACGTGGGCAAAACATAGGAGAATATCAAGTTCACCAACGTAACATATCTGCTAACAAAAAATTAACTGCATTAATACTTATTATGTTATTTACTGGAAAATCGCGCTGATAGAATATAAATGAATATGTAACGCGAATTATATGTAAATATTCAATTAACTTTTTATGGAAAGCGATGATTGGGTCTGCCAAAACGTCCCGCATATCAGTCTCGCGTAATTTTTGAACGATTTCAGGTCTGAGTCTTCTTAGAATCCAACCTATGTGGCAAAAGAAAAAGCCGCGTCGGCTATTGTGAGGATCTAAATCTGTATCGACGTATTTGTGATGTACACGATGAATCCGTACCCAACTAAAAATAGAGACCTATATATATAAAGAAATGTAGCATTAAGGCCTGTTCTCATTGAAGCCAATCGTCTGATCTATTCTAAAGCCGGGATGTGTCTTTAGAAAATAGTCAATCTTATAAATAGAGAGATCCCTAAATTAAAACTGCATGAATTTTTCGGTAATTTTCCGGTAATTTTCCGATAATTTTCCAGTAATTTTCCGGTAATTTTCCGGTAATTTTCCGGTAATTTTCCAGTAATTTTCCGTTATGTAATATCTTTAATTCAATATTCGAATAAAAAATGCGCTTTGTATGTATAATAGTTGAATTGACTTTTATTTGAAATGCAAATTAAAAATGGTGTTATTGAATTAAATTTTCGTAATAAATTGTATTTCAGTATTGCATAATAAATAAACTCTTTTGATTATTACCCCTCCACTTGTACAGTAACAAACGAAAAGAATGAGTCTGAGCGGTAGATTAGCGCTGTACGATCGATGAGACCAAAATCTGTGAGCACCAGCAGTCGTACCGATGCATCCTAAGTTATATATGGTTAGTACTGAAAATATAAAAAAATGTCAGTTCATATGTAATAATATAACATTAATTATAATAATTATAACTGATATAATTATAAAGAGCATAGCTATTTTGCCAATCTTAACTTTAACATTATGTGATTTTTGGCAGAAAATATATCTGTTTGACGTGTTTTAAATTACATTACACAATCATGATTACTTTTTCAAAGCACAAGCATGACCTTCAAATGTTCAATGTATTTTATTTAGAAACATTTATTGCAAAAGGAGCCTTGCTCTACTCTTATTAACTATTTAGTTTACAACAAAAAATTACAATATAAAATTCAAATTTCTGAATAATTTTTACATAAACTTACACCACAAAGTCGTCCTTAAATTTTCAAAGTAGTTGAACGTGATTAAACCGTAAAGTCCAATGATGTGCATCATCAATAAGTAAAAGACCGTAAACCATATGATATCCGTTTTTTGTGCTCCTCTTTTCGTAATAATTTCTTCTTTGCACTTAATATCACACGTGTCATCATGAGAATTGTTTGGTATTATTTCGTGCATAATGATAGCAATAACTGTTTACGTATAAAGTGTAATTATATTGTACTTGAAGTCACATCGATAGTTACAGACTGTGCTCGAGCGCTGGAGCGCGCTATTAACGCTATATTTTGTTAGAGTAGGTAAAAAGAGTGTCGCCAATTATCTGGAAAATACATAGCAATAATTTTAAAACATGAAAATAATATAAAATAATATAAAATAAATTAACAAGTTGAAGTAAAATTTGAATCCGTAATAAATAATACTGCTTCATTGTTTCGTTGAAATTCAAAATTATATGATTTATCTTCAAATAACGGCTTCCGAAACAAAGTCAAAATAGATCGATAAAGGAGCATAAAAGCCTCCGCAAAGTAACAATGCAATTATATATTAAATCACTTTACATGTATATATCGATAGATATTTCGACCACGTACTTGGTCATTTTCAGTACCAAAATTAAACAGATATTCAACGCTACTTATAATATATATTACGTTGTTACTAATCGTCTACAATTAACAAATTTAATACAAATTGTTATATCGTATGTCTGTCTAGAAAGGATTCTTTGTCGATAATTAGTTTAAGTTTTATTTTTCTTTGTCCCTTTAATACTGCGTCGTTTAATGCAAACATTCATTATTTAATTTTTGAAATCATCCCTGATATCTCAGATCTTTACAGGAGTCCTAGTTTCTATAACATTGTCGCGATATATAAATCTATATTATATGTTAGTCGTTCTTTAAATATGATAAATAAGAGATGAAAATAAGAGATAAAAAATTTAACATTAAAATGAATACAAAACACTATAAAAAGTAAACTAAAATTTATAATTAATAAGATTGTTAAACAAAATTATTTTAATAATACTTGTGAGTCAATGGAAACGCCAAGGATATATTCCAAGTTTTGTATATTAAAATGTTGATAGGATCTCATGAAAACATTTATCGGCAATGTAACAAGTAGAGAAAACATAAACATAATGTAATCCAAATAAAGTAAGGAACTGGTGAGTGGAAAGGAAGAGATTGGTAAAAGAGAGAGAAGTTGACAAAAAAAGGGAAAATATATGTCTGGCAGCTTCTCAGTCGCTTTACTTATTAAGTCTGTTTTTCTGTCTTTTTATAAAAATCATTTCCGAAATCAATCATCTATAATAAAAAGATTCCAAATCCAAAATACTTACATCATCCCAATCAAAACTGTGATTCGTTTCCAAACTAAGACTCGAAATTACTGACAAGGCACCTGAGGATTTATTATACATATTAATAAATAATTAATATATGAAGATGACCAGATACATGGTCGAAATGTCTATCAATGTACACATGTAAAATGATTTAATACATAATTATGCCATAGTCTCGTCCGAATGGATTAACTATGCACTGTCCATCCGGACGTGACCCAAAGCATAATTCAGATCGAACTTCACTTGGTAAGTTCGTTTAATCTTACAATTTTGCATTATTACCTTGCGGAGACTTTTATGCTCCTTTATCGATCTATATATGATTCATATTAAAAAGATTATAGGCAATAATAAACGATTTAGAAAGATTATATTATAATCTAATAAAAAGTTTTTATTTTCATAAATACATAAGTTTTACAATAATATAATTTTAAAATAATATAATTTTTGACAAAGAATGTATTAATCATGCACAGTTAATTATATTAATTTTGTATTAAATTCCAATTTATTTACCCAAACAACACAAAGTCTAAAATTGTGACATAAGACGTCTTTAGTCGTCTTTTAGACGTAAAAAACATCTTATGACACTTACGATCCGATTTTAGACGCTTTTTGTTGTCTGGGTAGGGATTATCATAAAATTAACATCTTATATTTTAAATAATTATTTATAATTAGTTAAAAAGTTTTTGTAATTATAATCATTAACATATGTATATGTTTAATATTTATATAAAAAGTTCCTTGAGAAATGAGGTAAAATTCAGAACTGCCATATATGTATACATATATATATATATATATATATACACATAGGATAAGGTTGTCGAAATTGCACCACTTTTCACTTAAAATCTCATAACTCAAAAATTATGAAGAATATTCTTAAGTCTTTTACAGCATAATAAACTGCACTCTTTTCCCTTTCTCATATAATTCTTTATAATTTTTTTGCGTTATTATAACGTTTAAAATGAGGATTTAAAAAAAATTTAAAAATTTTACATAAGAAAAGGAAAAAAATTGTATTTTATTATGCTTTTAAAAAAAAAAAAACTTAAGAATATATATAATTTCTGAAATACATAATTTTAAGAAGTAATTTAAAAAATTTCTATGTGAAACAAAATAAACACTTCGTAGGTTATCTAATGTACATTTTTACATAATAGTAAACGGAATAAAAATGTAAGAAATATAAAAATATTATGCAACGTGTAATTTAGAAGATTAGATTGTAATGTGATTTAGGAAACTAGAGCATTTTTAAAACTTTTATTTATTTAACCTATAAACAAAAATGTAAAGCAAACTTTAACCCATTAATTTAATTTTAATAATATTCTAATCATGACAAATGATCAAGACTTAGGCTATTTAACTTATATTTTCTGTAATTCTGTTATAAAATAGCAACTCTATCAAGATTTTTTATTTATGTAAGTAACAACTCAGATAGCCAAATGAAAATATTGTCATGTTGCTGCAGTAGATGTCAACAAACTAAAGACAAAGTGCTTCCTCATTATACGTGAAATATTGCTCTCACATGAATTATAAATTTGATGATAGCAAGTTGGCATAATATTTTCCACAATTAATAATCGAATAAAAAAATTATCTATTAGAAAAGATGTACATAAAAATAATTTCAACAACAATAATGAATTGAATGAACTCAATAAGAAAAAATATTTCACAATTCCATTTATAAATAAAAATTCTGATAAATTTGGCAATATAGCTTCAAAAAATAACTTTAAAATTTCATACAAACCGATAAATACGCTAAATAGATTTATAAAATCAGGGAAAGATAAACTGGATAGAATGGATCAATGCGATATTGTTTATAAAATATGCTGCCAGGATTGCAACGCCTCTTATGTTGGACAAACTAAAAGAAAAGCTAAAACAAGAATCAAAGAACACAAATCCAATATAAAAAGATCCAATGATGCACTCACAGTATTATCTCAACATCAAATTGATAAAAATCATAAAATAAATTGGGAGAACATTCAAATACTGGATATAGAACCGTATTTCCAAAAAAGGATGACGTCGGAAATGATTCATATTAAAAAACAAATAAATAGTATGAATAAACAAAGCGACATCGAAAAATTACCAGAAATCTACTTTCCTTTACGGAACATACCTTCCCCCTCCTTAACATCAACTTTATCCTCTCCCTTACAAAATAGTTAATTTAAGGCAGTATATCATGATGAGAAGCGGTAATACACAAAGAAATTCTGCGATAATATGTCATCCACTGCTGCTAATAAACATTCACAAATCTACAAGAACACAGGTATTATATTGATAGAAAAGATAATTTAAAATAATTGAGTCTAACTAGTACGAATTATAGAATCTGGAAATTTTGTGGACTAGTATATCATTGTGGAACATGAAAATTATATTGGAAAAAAACACAACGGAATGGTGTAAAATTGAAATTTTGACGCACACGGATATTACAGAGGATGAAACTTAATTTTTAAATTTATGTTAATCTGCGCTAGCTATATACTGATGATGACCCAATTAGTAGGTCGAAACCTATATTTATATTAATTTATTCACTTATTAATTGAATGTGATTGTATTGATTTCGAAAGAGGTCTCGCTGACGACATCGAGCGCTCGTGGTGTATGCCTTTTGACTTTATTATTATTTTTAAATTTTGACCACGTATCGACATTTAATGTATAACAATTACTTTTTTCCTCTCTTACTTGTTTGAATATCCTTTTCCAGGATTAAACTATACGCATTAATACACGTCTGTGAGGTGGAGTCAATGCCGAGAACGACAAAAAATTTCGAAATTGAGATCTTCATTTCTTACAATTAGTCCAATAAGGCGTTCCAGAGCTGTCATAACATTTGCTTCATACAATAGCCGTGTAATCTGTACTTACAAAATAGTAGTCCACAAACTAGTAATTTGCATGAAGAAACAGTATGGAATTTTTAAAATTGAATGTCTATTAAAAGACTTAGGCCACTATTCATAGTCAGTTCTTATATTAGTCAGTTCTAAGACCGTCTTAAGTTCTGCCTTGAGATGTTACGAACCAATCAGAGGACCGCATTGGTATTAAGATATTACTTAAGACGGTATTGAAATAAGAACCGACTATGAATACTGGTCTTAGACGTCTAATTAAAATGTAATTGTTATACGAAAATTTATGCGTACGTGTGGCATGCGTGAATGAGATATTAATGTAGTGATGTGTCACTGACTCGTAAATCATTTGTAAGTGCTATTTTAAATATAATTAATCGTCTTTAGGATCCCCTTAAATGGATGTATAGAACTTCAGCAACAGCCAAGCACAGTTTATTGTTTTTCTAATATCGGAAAGCAAATATCGGAAAACGAGTAGGCCTTGTATTATGACATTAATGGCTACGTTTACACCATGCGTTTAGTCCGCGACCTATACGATAGGTGTCTTTGTTTAACCTACAAGATAAACAAGGACATCTATTGTATAGGCCGCGGCCTAAATGCACGGTGTAAACGTAGCCATAATGACAAGATGTGATCCTATTCCTGCCCCTGAAATTAGTCTATAAATATCGTAACAAATCAACATTAGGCACATGTGAATTGGCGACACTTTTTTTTCTACCCATTCTACATCGTATTATTTTACTTCGATATCTTCGATCGTGTGACCAGGTTGTTTACACCGTTGCTAAATGCGGCAGTTAAAAAGTTTATAGCATAAGAGTCTCGCGCTTTTGATAAATTCAAGCATGCTTGTTTCAAGACTTTATGACCGGCTGCGTTACAGACAGCTTCATAACTGCCACTATTCGTCATGAAAATAGGTCTTTCTATTAAATTCCTCTCCACTGAGTCTCACCGTCTTCTCGGTGTCATCTTCTCATCTTCTGCCGTCGTACACCCAAGGACTTCGACTTTCCCTCGGATTTTCCCTCGGAAATTTTTACTTTGGTGTACCTACCTATCTTCTTAATCCATCTTCTCAATCCATATCTTCTCAACAAACACTTCATTGACTCTTTTCCAAGTTCTTCTTCTACTTTTGTGTCATCCTGTTTGTTCCTACCGTCTACCCATAACATCTCAAAAACCTTTACCTTTGCTCTTATCACAGCTATCGATGTTTAATATTTAAGCGCACAAAATTCACTTCCGCCAATCTGCACGACTCTTCAGGACATATAATCCTCTGTCATTCACAATATCTTGATTATCTCTCCTTCATATTTTCAATCACTTCTTATCTTGTAACACTTTTCCAACCTCCTGGAAGCAATTAGTAATTTTTCCAATTCCCAAAAATCGCAACCCCTCTTCACCCTCCTCACTTCGCTCTTCCTATTCCTTCTTTCTTCTCCAAACTACTCGAACAAATTTGCAATTAAATACCATTTTCAGCAATTAAATTCCAGCAATTAAATACCATTTTCAGGAAGGTTAACACTACTTCCGTTTAATAATCCAGATTTCGCAATATACATATCTAAACAAATTGTTACGTTATTTGATCTTATGTTGTATGGTATTTAGTAGCAACTAAATTATCACACATATAATTAGCTGATTCTTATTCCCGCGATAATAAGCTATTTTTGTCGTACTTTGAAATACCACGAATGCATCTATAGGTCTGTGTTTTATTGATGCACTCTGAACTGGTGCAATAAGTTGAAGTGGAACAAACGGATATTCGTTTCACTTCAACTTATGGCACTGTGTGTACTAGTTCAGAAAGTGCAATAGAATAATGTATTGTATATAAATATGTCCTGATTACTGCAATCGCGCATCTGTAGTACCTCTGACCTCTGACCGCGACATCGAGAGGCTTATGAACCAGAAGCTAATCGATATGAGAAAATAAGAATTCTTTGTGTGTGCGTTATATGGATTCGCGTCAATTTGTGCGTTATTCATTATTTCCTTACTCGTTTGTAAATATCATTTTTAAAAATGTAATACACTGAGAACCTTAAATTTTGAAAAATAAAAATGCAAAACTTCGTCTTCTAGTCTATTTAGATATGTCATCTTATGCGATACTTTAGCAAGAGGAGAAAAGTTAACGCTAAAATTACTTAAAAAGCACCAATTTGGAAAATCGTGAAGATAAATCTCACAAGCTGTTTTACTTTGTATGGTCAATGAGATCATGATTTATGAGTGTCAGTCGTGATGCAGCGAGAAATATAAGTACTATAAATTATACAGATCTGTTTACTCACAAGAGAAGTCGACAAGTGTAAAATAAAAAAGAATCTGAAACTTTGCATAAGTTTAGAACAGATGGACCTAATTACAATTTTTTTAAGCTGTTTATATTCGATTTTAGGGGTGGAAACACTTTTGTTGCGAATCTGTTGTTCCGCGGAAACTGATGTGCTCTTACAGAAAGAATGGGAAATAGAGGGCAAAGCAGCGATAAGAGTCGGGCTTGAGAGATCACTTTCACAGTTTCCTTTTTTTTAACAGTACAGGAATCTGCATTACACTTCAAGACGGCCGAGCAACTGAGATTTCGAATCAGAATGCGAGCGGAAATCTTCGGTTTGGTCGTTAATACTGCGAGTTATCGCGATCAAAGATCTTCCTCCAGATTCAGCGTTGCCTTCAGGTATGACGGAAATCTTGACGCAAAAACAATACAGTTCGATCTGCAGCGACCAAATTACGTTCGCGAATACATGAGTCACTCACCCTCGGTGTAACGTCGATATTGGAGAGTTTATTATCGAGAGTCCACATCGAATCAAAGATGTCGTGGTTTGTTTCACGGATCACGAAGAGAGACCACTTTGCATTTCTTCGTCATGGAGCAAAGCACGCGTATACATACACAAACGTTGACAATGAAAATCTTGCAAACGCCGTGTTCGCTGAGAATAACTTACGCTCTCGTGATTTGGACTCCAAGTGCAAATCGATCATCGTTATAGCGAAATATCCCCAAGCCGGGTCTCTTCCTCCTAAGGGAAGTGCGCGAAAGCATATATTCGGTCACTCGCGCAGTCGCGCAGTCAGACAAAGGGAGAGGATTGTCCTAATTCGCGAGAGCGATAGAAATAGCTAATGCGCGATGTTACTATAATTGGTCTTTCGCAATTTCGCATGCGCCACCAGCAGAACCGACGGACGTAAATGCTGAGTTCCACGCTTAGATATTCTGCCCTTACACGCTGAGATATTCTGGGATCGCTTTCGCGGGAAAATTGATCGAAAAGACACGAACACTCTTCATTCGAGTTTTGTCATAACGCTGATTCCGGAACTTCCTTGAAAAAAAATCGACGTTTATGTCTGTGCGAATATTTCCGAAGTAATGAAAAATATAATATAAAAAAATATTTCTAATAAAAAAGTTTTATGAATAATAAAAATCTTTATTGGATCGTATATGTAAAAATACAACCAATAGGAAATAAGAAATAAAGACCTATAACGAAGCTGGATCTTTAATGTTTAAATAATACAATGTGAAATTGTGTATACTATATGTATGTACATGTATATATACCATATTTATAGTTACTTGAACTGCGCGCCGAATTAATTTTTCTGATTTAAAAACGCAGCTAAACTACTGATATCGCAATTAAATTTTGATGCTTAATGAGCATCGGTTAAAGAGATCTTACTATATTGGAAATCTGTAAATAAAGTTAATGTAAATATAAATTATCTATATGGCTCAATCAGAATAAATCAGTAGTGAAAAGAATGGGCTATGAGCCAGTTATAACAAAGAATCTTTAATAAAACTTCTTACATACATGTATACATGCAAACGAACGTTTCGACCCCGATCGGGTCATTTTCAATGCAAAATAAACAAAATTATAAAGTTGTCAGAAGATTTAGCCAAATTATAACGTCCAGTATCGAAATCAGTTACATCAATGACATGCGGTCCATATTTAAAATTGGCGGAGATCTCATCTCACTCTTTTTTTACTATCATCCAATCTTACAAATAAATAATAAATTAACAATACGTTATAAATTAACTTAAATTACAAAACAAGTAAAAATATCTACCTTAAAATGTCTCAACGATGTCAGTTAGACGTAGAGAGGAAAACGCACTTAACAACGTTATATTATATAAAAAGTAACCCATAATACAAATCCAAGACCCATGTGTATTATGGCTTACTTTTTATATAATATAACGTTGTAAGTGCGTTTCCTCTCTACGTCTAACTGACATCGTTGAGACATTTTAAGGTAGATATTTTTACTTGTTTTGTAATTTAAGTTAATTTATAACGTATTGTTAATTTATTATTTATTTGTAAGATTGGATGATAGTAAAAAAAGAGTGAGATGAGATCTCCGCCAATTTTAAATATGGACCGCATGTCATTGATGTAACTGATTTCGATACTGGACGTTATAATTTGGCTAAATCTTCTGACAACTTTATAATTTTGTTTATTTTGCATTGAAAATGACCCGATCGGGGTCGAAACGTTCGTTTGCATGTATACATGTATGTAAGAAGTTTTATTAAAGATTCTTTGTTATAACTGGCTCATAGCCCATTCTTTTCACTACTAATGTAAATATATTACGAAAAATATTACCTCGGCCGAGATCTCTAATTAAACATTCCATGTGAGCGTCCTAAGCCTTTAGATTACCGAGGCCTTAGTAATATTCTTCGCAATAATCAGTATGTATGGAAATAACATCTTTCTTTCAGATAACGAAGTATAAAAAGATTTATGCTTTGCAAGCACTTTATAACGGCGTTCGTAGTCATCAAAAACAATTTAACTCCGAAAAAAAGTTTGAGGTTCTATATCTCTAAATTCTTATTTTGAAATGAGATTTGACCTGCTATCTATCTGAAGTTTAAAGTACTCTCTTTGCGCCTAGACGCCAGGTATTTCACGCCAAATTCAATTAAACGTAATAAAGTTGTATTCCGTAAATGTATTTTTAACAAATAAAAAAATAAGTTAATACTTATAAAAATTCTATTAATTTTATTGCTACTTGGCTACTACTTGACATCTCTCCTTACTCTTCTCTGTTTGTGATTTTCCACAATTTAGATAAGATGACGATGAAACAGATGTTCGTAATAAATACGTTTTTAATAAACTTAATCGCGGATTTTTGTAAATTTTTATACATACATTTTATATACTATACAGGGTGTTTCCAAATTAAATCGCAAAACTTCGGGAGCGTGTAGAGGAGTAAAAAACTAAGAAAAAAAGTCCTATAGACATATGCTCGTTTTTGCTCCGTTTCAGAGAAATCGAAAAAAAATGTTTACATTTCTTGCCATATCTAGCACCGACATATTTGATTACATTTTCCACTTTCTGTTATGAATTTGTCAGTCGCTCTTTGAAAGCCTTTAACAGTAGATGAATTTTGTCTTTTGCAATATGCCGCGTACGTATTCTAATAGTGAATATGCTGATATGGTTTTTGTATACGGTTTCTGCAACGGTAATGCTTTAAAGGCGTGGCTGCTACAAGAGCCGTGTTTGACAGATGCAATGCTTGTATTGCTGCAAGAGGTGCACATTTCGAACAAAATCTTCATTAAAAAGTTTATAAATAAAATAATTAAAATAATAAATTAAATATATTTTTTTCTTTTTTCGTGATTTCCTGCGAAACAAAGCAAAAAGGAGCATATGTCTATAGGACTTTTTTTCTTAGTTTTTTACTCCTCTACACGCTCCCGAAGTTTTGCCATTTAATTTGGAAACACCCTGTATATACGAGTTCTATCCCAAAAGTATCCGATCTCTGCGTATATTTTGGTCCTTGGGCATCCTATTATGGAAAACAGGTATTTAAAGTGGACTTTTAGAAATACCTTCACCAAGCGGCACGACCCAACAACTGCTCAGACAATGATCGTGTGAGTGTCGAAAACTCCGAGCGTCGCATTTCACAATGACTAAACGATAACGCACCTGCTCATTCACCTGATTCAGAAGTTTTCAACTAAACACGGCATTGTCCAACTTCGTCACCTTCGTACAATCGATGTCGTGTTGTCGACACTACCATAAACTGTTGCCGACTGAACAGCTGTTGGGTTGTGTCGCTTGGTGGGGTATTCCTAAAAGTCCACCTAAATACTGAATATCTGTTTTCCACAATAAGATGCCCAAGGACAAAAACATACGTAGAGATCAAACACTTTTGGGATTTCGTATATACAGGGTGTTTCCAAATTAAATCGCAAAACTTCGGGAGCGTGTAGAGGAGTAAAAAACTAAGAAAAAAAGTCCTATAGACATATGCTCGTTTTTGCTCCGTTTCAGAGAAATCGAAAAAAAATGTTTACATTTCTTGCCATATCTAGCACCGACATATTTGATTACATTTTCCACTTTCTGTTATGAATTTGTCAGTCGCTCTTTGAAAGCCTTTAATAGTAGATGAATTTTGTCTTTTGCAATATGCCGCGTACGTATTCTAATAGTGAATATGCTGATATGGTTTTTGTATACGGTTTCTGCAACGGTAATGCTTTAAAGGCCTGGCTGCTACAAGAGCCGTGTTTGACAGATGCAATGCTTGTATTGCTGCAAGATGTTAGTAATGAAGACGCAAGATTTTCACAAAACTTTTTTTTATTTTTCAACGTAATCCCCTTTTAAGAGGATACACTTTTCCCAACGTTTTTGCCATTTTTTTAACCCCCCTCCGAAAAATACGATTTGTCGAACAAAATAGGCCTCTGTTTCGACAATGACCTCCTCATTCGACGTGAATCTTTTTCCACCGAGTCATTTTTTCAAGTTTGGAAACAAGAAGAAGTCGCAGGAGGCCAAATCCGGAGAGTACGGTGGATGCAGCAGCAATTCGTACCGCAATTCGACCAATTTGGCTGTGGCGACTGCGGAGGAGTAAGCCGGTGCATTGTCCTGATGGAACAACACCTTTTTTTTCGCCAAATGGGGGCGTTTTTTCTTCAATTCAACATCGAATCAGCCCAATAAGTCAGCATAGTACTGCCCCGTGATAGTTTTGCTTTTCCCCATGCAGTCGATGAAGAGATGGTGAAGGGTTCCCATAGACGGCATCCAACTTCATTTTTATTTCTTCGCACGTTTTTCCATCCAAAAATAAAAAGCGAATCACGGATCGATATTATTCTTTTTCCATTGTATCAGAAAATATCAAACACTCTCACTACGAATTGGTGTCAAATCAAGACTATTGCATGAATCACTCTGAAATTTTGTATGGCGTCATTTGAAAGATGGTAGTACACAATGGTAATGCCAACTTGCATCAGCAACGTCACCTGTCTTCAAACACTATTGTACTTATTGATTTGCCCTCTTATATATACATATATATATAATATCTACTTCTACTGAAATATTACAGTCCAGGTAGCACCTATTTTGGTTCATATATGATTTATAGATGTTTCCTAAACATATTTAATGTACAAGCGTTTAGGAAACGTACATAAACCAACATGTGCTACTGGAAAACCTAAAAAACAATCAAGTTTATATTATTATGTTAATATTATTATTATATAACATTATTGTTATATTAGAGGAAGGTCACCGATACTGACATAGGTCTCCTAAAGAGACATCCCTTTATTTCTTAAAAATTAATCTTTGCACCTTATTAATACTAATAAAAACGTGATCTGTTTAGCTAATTAAAGAAGTACAAACTCACAATTCATATATTTTTGGCTTATTTCTATACCAAATCAGCTAAAAACAAATTCTATGAATCCGAGAAGAAAATTCTTATGGTGTTCTTTTGCAAATTGCGTAACTAAAATAATAGTGACTGTATTATTGATAATATTATGTCATTTTAAATGTTTATAGTTTCATGCATTAGTTTTCTTTACAAAATAGGATATATCTTTATTTATAGATTAGGAATATTAGCATTATTGCCTACTGTGTCAGTTTTGGAGTCCATTTTGTCAGACGCTCATTTTTGCATAACTTACGAAAAACTTAATTATTGTAAAATTGCAAACAGTATTACAAAAACTGCTTATACTATCTAATAGAAGACACTTTTTAGTTTGTATTTATGTTTTTGAAGTTATATTTTTACCTCTTATTTAAGAAATATTGTCTAAAAACAAAGCGGTATCGATGATCTCCCTCTATATTACAATATTATAACAACATTATTATGTTAACTTAACTTAATTTCAAATTTGAATCAAATTTTTATGAATTATATCTTAAATAAATTTAAAGAAATTATCTTGATCGTGTACATTTATTGTTAATTGATTCAAAAAACTCTCTATCATGAGACAACCCTCTGTTACTTTTATTAATCAATTTTACTGGCTGGATATGGTACAGCTTTCCACAAAGGATGACTTCCATCACCTTTATTCATCGCAACAATCTTTACAAGCTTCTCCGACGGTTCTTTGAGATCGTACGCCCAGCCGATTTTCGCAAAGAACTTAATGGTATTTGTGGTTACGGAATTGTGAAACTCGGAAGCCTTGTAGTCCCACGGGAAAACATGATGATAATTGTGCGATCCTTCACCGGACGTAACATAATCGACGATTAAGCTTTCCGTTGGATTTATGTGCCTGTCGTTAAAATAAACAAAACAAAATTATTCTTAGGTGATACAAAATGATAAAAGCTTTGGATTTTTTGGATCAAATTTATTATATGTTAATAATTTTGATATTAATTATTAGGCTTACGCATCATATGGCCTTGAGCCCCAGATATGAGCCACACTGTTAACACTCCATGTGAAATTTAAAACCAAAACATAACGAATAAAAATCTGCGACACGAAAGCTCTAGACCAAGTCTCATTCCATGCATACACAGGCAACATCACTGGAAGCAGGAGAGCGAATATAAATTTTAATATCGGAGCATATCTGCAAAATAGCATTAATTAATTACGACATGTAATTTTCATCACAGTTTTATATCTTACGTAAAAAAATTTATATAAAAGACTTTCTAAAGGAGGCTGCAAAAAATATCGGAATACTAAATGTATACCCGGGAAAAAATGTTCATGCATGATCATATATGATTATGTATAGAGACTCCATACATGATCATGCATGGATTTTGACCTGACATGATCGTGCATGACGCATGATCGTGCATTACACATGATCGTATAGGGTCGTGCATGAACATGTATGATTGTATATGATTGTACACGACCATGTATGATCGTACGTAATCGTACATGGCTATGTATGCTCGTACATGATTGTGTACGACCATATATGATGATGCACGATCATGTCAGATCAAAATCCATACATGATTATGTATGGAGGTCTTCATATATGATTATACTATATATGATCACGCATTTTTTCCCGGATGTTTTCAAAATGAATCAAACTTCTATAGCACAACATTTATGAAATTATATCATGAAATCTTGCACAAAAGTTATTAACATTTTAGAAGATATTAGATGCAGTTTCTGCATGTGTTTTTGAAAATATACCCTTATAAATGCAAGTTACAAATTTTATACAAGATTTGGTTATATAATTTCATAAATGTCCTATGTTCGGGGAAATTGAGAAGTCTATAGAAAGATATCGTAATTACAAATACACATTTTGCGAGGACATAGCAAAAACATTTTCGTAATACTCTTCTTTCCTCCTAGTTTCTTTTGTCTTTTCCAATGTGGAACTATTTCATATAATTATATAACTCTGTGCACAAACTTACTTGATAGTAAATACAGCAATAGGATCAGCCAATATATCGCTCATATCGACTTGACGACCCTTTTGAATCACATCTGGATGTTTCTTCGTCATCAACCAACCCACATGAGAGAAAAAGAATCCTCGTTTACTGTTATGCGGATCCGCATTCGTATCTGTATATTTGTGGTGCACCCGATGATCTCGCACCCATTCAAAAATGTCATTCTAAAAGAATACAATTGTAAAGAAAAATTCTTTCATCTTGTAATGTATAAAACGGTAATTATAAACGTTCGTCTACCATGCCAGCCGAAGCATAGCAGACGGCAAGTATAATTCTAAGCTGCCATTTTGCTTTATAAGATCGATGAGTCCATAAACGATGAACACCGGCGGTCACGCCATTTCCTGCTATTGTAATCATGCCACACACTTGAAACAAAAAAGGTTAACTTTAGAAACGCTTAGAACATTAGAAATGCTTTAAAATTGTGAATAATAATCCGTATTTCTTAAGAGCACCGTGTAAGTAGCACTGATTTGACAATTCAAGATAATTTATGACACAATCGATATTGTACAATAGAAATGAGAAATTTTTAACAGCAATTTACTGGTCTACTGTTAAGCTTCTATTGCGTGATCTCTTCAGTCGTGTAAGTCTAATCAATTGGTTTTCAATTTGCAGCTGTTAGAAATCGTTAAAAACAACTGGCATTTTTTATAAACATACATTACAATTTTAATTCGTTGGTGGTCTAAATTTTACTTTTTTATTATGTAGTTTTTTTAGGATATCAAGGAATCAAATTAATGAAAGAATTTTCCAAAGAATACTTACCCCAAGCAGTCGTCATCAGATTTTCGAAAAAGTTAAAAGTAAAACAGGCATGTACGAAGCATAAGTGGAGAAGACAAATAGTTATGATGTTAAACCATTTGGGCTCCGTCTTGAACCAGCCTTCAGTTTTAATACAGCTCTCGCTTCTGTTTTTCTTGTTATTTTCATCTATCATCTTTGTAGTAATAGAAAATTCCTCATTTTGTAAATCTTTCTCCGTAAGTATTTTTGAATCTGGGCTTACAATATTTGATGCCATCTTTGTTTTCGAATTACTCGACCGAAAATCCAAAAAATCTGCTTCACGCTGTTAAGAAATAGCTATAACAAATAATTGTCATCTTTTTTTTTCAAATCAACAATTAAAATAATAATTAATAAGGAGCACATAAGCCTACACTGGATATCAATGTGAAAAACGTTAATTGTTTAAAACATTGATTTAATAATAATATATATTAATGTAGGATTTGATTTAAATGTCTATTAAAATATTATATTGAAATCGTTTTATAGATTATCGATGTTAAATTTAAATAAGCGGCGAAAGATGAGATTGTACGTATCGTTTGTGAATGTTTTTAGAGC